TGTAGTTAGTCAGTTCCCACCCAGTGTCAAAATGCCCACCGCAGTCCCGCTATAAGTTGCTGATCACCACCATTACTAGTATATAAAAAAAAATCCAGTATATATACACCACCATTTGTAGATGCTATAACTTTCACATAAACCAATTAATTTACACCTTATTGGGATTTTTTTTTTTATAAGCAAAGAGAGATAGGAGAATACATTTTGGCCTTAATTTTTTTTTACTGGATATATTTTATAGCAAAAAGTCAAAAATATTGTTTGTTTGTTATTTCAAAATTGTTGATTGTTTTAGTTTATAGCACAAAAAATAAAAAACACACAGGTGATCAAATACCACCAAAAAAAAGCTCTATTTGTGGGGGAAAAAGGACATAAATTTCATTTGGGTGTAGCATTGCATGACTGTCAGTTAAAGTAATGCAACGCTGTGTCGCAAAAAATGGCCTGGTCAGGCCTGGTCAGGAAGGGGGTAAATCCTCTAGAGGGCAAGTGGTTAAAATAATAAATGAATAAACAACCACATCTATTTGACAAACACACCATGTGTTTGATCACTGCATTACACTGATGGGTGCTGTAGCTTCCACTACCAGATACTTTCCTAGTGTGTTTTTCAGAGATGCACAGAAAAGTTAGTGATGTAGTGGCGAGCAGGTACTACCACAACATGCAGAAGGTATCTAACATACCCAGAAGTGGTGCTGCCCATATTTTGGAAACAGCTTATAATAGTCACAGGGTGGGTGGAACCTGATGGGGAGAGATTTGTTTCCAATCAGGCCCATCTTACCTTTAATTGACAGCAGATGGCAGTGGTGGATTCTAATGCCGCTGTTTGAATGAATAGTGGATCCACCCATTGGCAATCAACAGCAAGGCGAACTTGATTGGGAACTAGTTTTTCAGTTTCAAATCAGGCTCTGCTCAACACAGCAAAAAACTCCTAAGCCATGAGCCTGTCTGTGTGATTGACTCAGTGGCTGGGGAGAAGGGAGCGCACTGAGAAAAGTGTTTCCAGTATGGACACTCAGCTCAATGTGCGCTCCAGCAGATTCATTTTCCTGTCTCCAACAAATAAATGAATTGGATGTAAGCACCAACAGTTTTTGTACAGCACCCTGACAGATTATCTATGGCATTCATCCCACACTGTCATCAAGATACATGTATTGTAACCACAGTGTTTCTATAACCCCTTCACACCTAAGGGTAAACTGAATCCTAATGTCTAAGCTCAATTTTGCAACTTTGACATGTGTAAGTAAATATGTACATAATATCACAACTACTTTTGTACATCCAGGTGAATTATACCTTGTTTTTTTCAGGATAATTTGGGCTTTCATTTGGTGGTAAATAATTATGGATAGCTCCTGATTTATTTTTGCCAGCAAAGAAAAACTCGCCCAAAGTAGTAAAAAAAAGTTTTTTTTTAAATGTAGTTCTAAATTTCTGGTTACTACCATAACCTACCACCACTGAATAACCCAAAATAAATTCTCCTGCTCCTTAGGATTGCAGGGATACTACATATGTGTATGTTATTTGTTGTTTGTACCCATAGTACAACCCAGAAACAATAGTGCGCATTTTGCTTTTTTTTTTCTTCCTACCTAAAACACACTGACACTGACACTAATTAACACTGATACTAAATAAAAAAAAATCCTGCCCAAAATATAATGATCCTGACCTTTGACCCTGGCCTTGACCTTTGATCCTTACTTGACCCAAACACTAACCCTGGCACTGACCTAGATGAAACAGTGTTCTAGGTATTTTTTCTTGCTATTTTTTCTTTTATTTCTAATATTTATGTATTTTACAAACTGTTGTTGTTTTTCTCTCTGAAAGGACAGGGAGAGATACAATGTATCTCTCATTCAAAAGAGAAAACATGTGACTGATCATTGTGATAGCCAATCAGAAGCTATCACAGTGATCAGGTAACCCGAAATTGGGAGTTCTGGATCACAATCGTCAGTATTGGACCAGGGGCTCACAGTGAGACCCTGGTCTCTTTGCTGGTAGATACACAAATATATGGCCACACAGCATAAAGCCCAGTGTACTGAGGCCACATATTTGTGTTAGGTCGGCGTCAAGGGGTTAACAACTAGTTAGCAGTCATCTAATGTGTTTTGATTTAATTGTGTTCCAAATTAAATTAATTAACTACAAACAAGTGGTTGCCTTACTGTAGAAAAGCAAATTATTATAATTTTCTAATTTCTTATTCAAACAGTTTTGAGAGTGTCCTTGTTTTGAAAACTTAAAGGAGAATACATCCTTTTTGATGTTGAATTTAAGAAGGGTAGTGATAAGGCACTAACGTAGGACCTGGATGAATAGATAAACAGAAACTCTGATCAAATATTAATCTCCAGGTTCTTGCAAGCAATAATGTTAGGTATGGAGATTCTGCTTGCTCCAGAAGGAATTGAGAATGGGATCTTGTATTTAGTCTCTAGTTCAGAAAAGGGCTTGGTTAATAATGGCAATTTTCCTTTTACTCATGCTAAGTTTGAACTGAATTGTGTTATAATATGCTTAGCATCTGTTTTAATTTTAATGTAGTTATTATAAGAATGATGGTGTTGATTTCCTTAGTAGTTACTGTTTAAAAAAGTTTAATGCTTCGCCAATTGCTGCAATCAATCAGCAGCAGCAGCAGCAGCAGGGGTTGGTAGAATGACCTATGTAGCATTAATGACATTATTGTGTAGAAAGTACATACTGTACATGTCATAAACAAATTTGTCATACTCATTTACACATACATATTTTGAAACTATAAAGTACACTTGTCTTCAGTGTGATAGGTGTTATTATGGTGTTAACATTTGGAACTCTTATCTGAACATTTCTTTCTTTAAAAAAGACAAGGAAAAAAAATTAAATAATGACTCAATATGTTCTGGTCAAGTTTTCATTTTCACAGATCTGTACAATAAATAATGAATAGAACTGAGCTATAAATGCAATGATAAACCATCTGAGCACATGTATTAAACCTGAAACAGATGCTTTAAGTTTTAGAAGCAATACCCAAACGCCACCAATGTAAAAAAAAAAAAAAAAAATACACTTTGGGGAGAGGTGTATGCCATACCAGGTGTTAGCTGCAAACATTTAATGCATTTCCTATGAATTTAATTTCTACTTAACAAGTCATTTATTAGCTTTTTGCTCCAGGGTATTTATAATATTTTTTCAGATACAGTTACACATTCCTAAAACTTTCAAAATTAAATATTGCAATTTCTCTGCTGCTAATAAGCTTACTGTATTTGATTTTAATATCTAGTAAATCATTGTTTAAGTAAGATAAATTACTTAAATCTGTCAACCAGTTCCTTGTTAAGCATTGATAATTAGGCACTTACTTCATTGACATTCGTAGATAGTATTAGGTAAGTATAAATAGCAACTTTGTTGTTGTAACTAGTGATGAGTTCCATGTTTGGGCCAACCATGAGTTCAACATGAACCCAGCTTGTTCGCAGTTCAAGGATCGAGCAAACTAAATAACCAAATTTGGTCAGTTTGTCTGCCTGCTGCAGCTGGAAATTGTTAATTTATTGGTATATTGCTACCACCATCACTAAATGAGAGTTCCCACTTTCCAACTGACTTGGCCTGTCTCACATTGTAAATAAACCAGTGGGGCTCCTGAATGGAATTGATCATGAGTCATATTTGGTCAATGACATCACCCATGTTCCCCAGCAATGTGTAGACATTCCAACAACACCAGGGAACTGTCAGTTGTGATAGGAATTGCATTAGGACAGGATAGATGGGTTATTGTTCATTGTGACTGATGAAGTATCTATATCACAGGATGACATGATTGCTGTTGCATTTACACAATAGGACATAGTCTTCTTATGAAGGACTTTTTATGGTTTCTGTGTGTTTATGTGTGTTTATGTAATGTTTAGTTTTTTTATGAATGGGTAACAAGATGTACTTTGTATCCCTTACATAATCATATAAGAAGGAGGGCCTAATATCTTAGGTCCCCCTATTTTTAAAGAGGCTTCCAGGTTCTGAATGTGGAGATAAGGCCCTTGTACCTCTCAGTATGGGGACACGGTGACCTGAAGGGAGGGCCTCACAGGGTACCCTCCAAATGTTGAGAGCATGGGGCATGATATTATTATTATTATTATTATTATTATATTATTATACAGTATTTATATAGAGCTAAAAGGTTTGCTCAGTGCTGTACATTATATTGGGGGACAGAACATGAGACAATACAGTAACAAAACAAAACACGAGGGATTCAAGGGCCCTGCTCTTTCGAGCTGAAAATCTAGGAGATAATTCAGGAGTGATGGTGCCGGCTTTCATTTATTTTTTTTTACTGCCCTCCCTAAAAAAAAATTCATACTAGCCTAGGATAAGGGTCTGGTCTGGCTTTTTTGAGAGGGACCCTACATCATTTTTATGTGCTTGTTTTTTTTTTTTTTAACCACTTGCTTTCCAGATGATTTACCCCCCTGCCTGACCAGGCCATTTTTTTCCGATATGGAGCTGTGTTACTTTAACTGACAATTGCGTGGTCATGCAATGCTTCATTCAAATGAAATTTACATCCTTTTTTTCCCACAAATAGAGCCTTCCCGTGGTATTTGATCGCCTGTGCGTATTTTTATTTTTTATGCTATAAACAATATAGAAATTACAATTTTGAGTAAAAAACAATATTTTTAACTTTTTGCTGTTAAACATGTCCAATAAAAACATAAAAAAAATCTAATTTCATCATAAATTTAGGGCAAAATATATTCTGCTACGTCTTTTCTAAAACAAATCCCAATATGTGTAAATTAATTGGTTTACATGAAAGTTATAGCGTTTACAAATGGCGGCATATATTATTATTATAATAATATTTTTTTTTACTAGTAATGCCGGTGATCAGTGACTTATAAACGGGACTTTGGCAGGCATTCTGACACTGGGGGGAACTGAATTGGTGTCACTGACATCCCCAGTGACACTAATACAGTGATCAGTGCTAATAAAAAGCACTAACACTGCATTGACACTGGGCAGGAAGGTGTTAACATCTGGAGCTATCAAAGGGTTAACTGTGTGCTGTGTGCTGTTTCACTGTGTGCTGTGTGATTGCTTTCCACTGTAAGCACACTGTTTTGTATGGCTCTGCTATGCTATGCAGAGCCATACAAAGCAGTGTGCAGGAGATGACAGGGGAGAGAACTGTATTGTTTACATACAGTTCTCTCCCCCTTCTGTAATACTCGGCGATCACCGGGCACCGGCAAATAATCACCAGCTGGGACCTGGTGATTGACAGCCCAGGCCGCGAATGGAGAGCTGCGCACGCGTCACATATATATATATATACACGTGTTTTTGCGCACCCCTGCCGCCATGTAGCAGTATTTCTGCTATAGGGCGGACGGGAATCGGTTAATGGTGTCACTTCAAAATCTATACCAGACCCTTATGCCCTGAAAAAAAAAAACAAAAGCAAAGATTATAAGGGTCTGGTATTGATTCTGAGGCATCTTGTCTATATGATGGACCTTGGGCATAGTGACACAGTTTTGTGATGCATTTTTTAATTTTGTTACTTACATTGATGCACAGTATTTACACAGTGTGTGTGTGTGTGTGTGTGTTGAGGTTATAGCGACACCAATTTGTGGTGCTTGTAATGTTGTTATTCACATTATTATGAAGTAAGTGTACCTGATTTTTGCTGATAATCAGTTCTGTTAAAATGCATGCATTCCATTATCGGGTGCACATTGTTGGCCTGGACCAGCTTCCTGAGAGTGACAAACAGTGGACAATACCAGTGCAGCATGTGTCACCCCAGCCCTCCATAGTCACCATGAGGGGTGCATTTGACAGAGCGATAATGCAGGAGAACAATTTGGAGACTCTTTTACCCAATACGATACCCTACTGTGCCGTATCAAGGAAAAAACTTCAATGCGGGATTGCCAGGTATTCTTTTAATGAAAGCTGTAGATTTAAAAATACTGAAAACAACTTTTGAATTGTGTTAAGCTTTATATAATAGTTTAGTGATTTAGTTTGGATTTATAGTACTTAAGGAAGATACTAGTAATACCTGTAGTGAAAAAATCACCTAAAGTATACAGAAAAGCATACCATTGCTGTAGGATTGCTACTTCACAGATTGCTACCAAAATTACTGTTGGATGATTCACATGCAAGATAGGAAAAAAACTTACATAATCTTGTAACTTTTATCTGCTTTGATATTACATTAGTAACTTTGTAAAATGTCAGTTTTCACATTTGAATTACTAATATTAAATCACTTTTTTTTTCAGTGGATTTTTAGTCAAGTCTAGAAGTCATTGTAAACTTGTTTTCTATGAAAATCACTACTGTTTCTCTAAGGACAATACGAGTTGATTAAACATTATGAATTTCCATGGAACATCTGCTGGAAAAATTTGCTATTGCTTATATTAGACTTCAAGGGATTTTTAATGTAAGAACTGAACAATGTATTTGTACATGATGATTGTGCTTTTCTGATGAATTCAGGCCTGAATGCAATCTAACAATGCTATTTTTAATATGCATTTATTTCATAGTTATTCATAGTGATCAAAGTCAGAACTAAAATGCATCACCCATTGCTACATTATATACATTGTGTTACCATTTTTAGGATACATTTTTACTTTAACCTGGATATCAGGGGCTGCTTTTGTTCAGTTTACTCACATTCAAGCCCTTTAAATTTAAAATATAATTCCTTATAGTAAAAAAATAATATTTTTCTCCTATAAGTAACCTGTGTTTTCTGTCATTATAGCTTACGAGACCATGTGACCAGCAAAAAGTATCAGATAAAAGTTTAGAAATCCTGTATTTTAAATGTTTCCCTGCAGCATATTTCCTACATTATTATTATTATGATTTTGTTTTTGTGACTTGCAACTGTGTAATACAATTGACTACTTTAACCACTTAAGGACTGCCCTATAGCAGATATACTGCTACAGGTCGGCACCTGTGCGCAGAATCACGTATATATATGTAATTTTGCAGTTCCAGGTAGGGGGCGCACACGAGTGCCCTATCCGCACTGCCATTAGCAGCCGCGGATGTCAATCACTGGGTCTCGGCCGGTAATTACCCGCCGGTGCCTGGTGATTACTGACAATAACCAACAGGGAGGATGATTGTTTTGTTTACAAACATTCTTTCTCCCTGTTAGCTCGAGCACACTGCTTCGGATGGCTGTGTACAGTACAGCCATCCCGATCAGTGTGCTTACAGTAAAGAACACGCCCCCTAGTAAAACATACCCAGCACACAGTTAACCCTTTGATAGCCCCTCACATTAACCCCTTCCTGCCCAGTGTCATTATTACAGTGTCAGTGCTTTTTTTTTAGCACTGATCACTGTATTGGTGTCACTGGGGTGTCAGTGACACTAAGTTAGTTACCCCCCAGTGTCATAATGTTCATCGCAGTCCTGCTAAAAGTTTCTGATCTCCTCCATTACTAGTAGAAGAAAAATCCCATTATCTCTACCACCATTTGTAAATGCTATAACTTTCATGTAAACCAATTAATTTACACGTATTGGGGTTTTTTTTTTTAGCAAAGACATGTCGCAGAAAACATTTTGGCCTGAATTTATGAAGAAATTAGATTTTTTACATTTTTTACTGGTCATGTTTAATAGCAAAAAGTCCAAAATATTGTTTTTTTTTTTCAAAATTATCGGGATTTTTTTGATTATAGCACAAAATCTAAAAAGTGCGCAGGCAATCAAATACCACCAAAAGAAATCTCAATTCGTAGGAAAAAAAGGCCGTAAATTTCATTTCAGTGCACTGTTGCATGACTACGCAATTGTCAGTTAAAATAATGCAGCGCCGTAATGCAAAAAATGGCCTGGTCATGAAGTGGGGTAAATCCTCAGGAAGGCAAGTGTTTACGAACAACACTGTGCCCAAAATATTTTTATCCAATTTTTTTGAGAAATATAGAGCTCTCTTTTGGTGGTTTTATTAACCACTGGGTTGTATATTTTTTACTTTAACAAGAAAATAGCAAAAATTATGAAAAAATTCAATTTTTTTTAAGTTTTAAAATATAGCTAATAAAAATACCAGGACAATATAAAAATACACCCCCCCCCCCCAAATGACCCCTTTTTGGGGAAGTAGACACCATAAGGTGTCACATTTTTTGCCATAATACTTTGCAAATGAAGAAATATGCTGGCATTGAGGGGGATAAAACATGAATCTTTGTAATAATGCACTAGATATAATATTCTACAGGTCATACACAAAGTTAAAGTAGAACTAAAGGCAGTGTTTTTTTTTGCTATGGAGATTTCCTTTTACTTCCTGTACTTCCTGTCCCATAGCCAAAACAGGAATTGAGAGTAAATCCTTCCAAAGTGAGGGAGTCCTTGGTTCCCAGGGTCAAAAGCTATAGTGTCTTTTTTGGAAGATTTCACCTCTATTGCTGTTTTAGGGACAACCCAAAAATGTGGGATTTTCTTTTATTTTCACTTTTGATTACACTGATCACCAGGTTGAATCCCCCAATGAGGGCACAGCCAGCAGTAAAACCTGATAGACTTTCCACTCTGTCTAAAACTATAAAAAAAAAATTCCTAAGGGCCCTTTCACACTATAGAAACGCTGCCCAAATGCATTCTGGATACGTTTCCACATGAGTGTTTTTGACGCATTCCAGTGCGTTTTTATGCATTCCAGTTTATTTTTTCCCCTCTCTTTTTCTTCAATATAAGTAGGGACATGTGCATGTCAGTGCGTTTTTGTGCGTTCCGGTGCATTTTTTATGCAATTTACCATGTTCCAGTACAGTTCTGTGCAGAAAAAATGCAGCATATTCTGCTTTTTTTCTGCAACCTGAATGCACTGGAACTGCAAGCACTGATGTGCACTATGACATTGACAACCATATACTCTACTTTCTGTGCTTTTTGGATGCAGAAACAAAGCAACTGAAATGCATGTAGTGTGAACTGGCACTAAATGTGGTTATAAAACCAAATCCAAAATGTAATACATTGCAGCTTACCAATCATTAGATGTGGTGGCTACATTAGTTTTTTTTCCTCTGTTTTCAACTGGTGATCTGGCCAGTAACACATCTCCTGTATTTGAGTGCCTCCACTCTGGATGAATAAATAAAGGGGGCACATTTGGATGTCAACATTGTCAGTCTGTGGGGAGGAGAGGGTTAGATGTACTAGCAGATTTAAATACACTAACAAGTTGAAGCCAAACTTCAGCTAATTTTTCATAAGCAGTTACAGTATATGCAAACTTTCTATTTTTCCTTTCAGGATAAAAGCTTTACATATATAAATAAAAGCTTATCATTGTAAACACCCAACACTGTTAAACAGTTTGTCTCATTCCTGTAACTGCAAGAGATCTTGGTCTGTTGAAAACCACAGACTTATTGGCTAGATCACCAGATGAAAATAGAAAACAGCCTAAAAAAGAAAGCTAATTATTATTATTATACAGGATTTATATAGCGCCAACAGTTTGCGCAGTGCTTTACAATATAAGGGAGACAATACAATTACAAAACATTTCAGTACAGAAGGAATATGAGGGCCCTGCTTGTGGAGTTAACAACCTAAAGGAATGGGGAGGTGATACAAAAGGTGATAGCTGCGGGGGATGATCTGGTGGAGGTGATTCAAGTACAGGTCTTAGGTGGAGGTGGGGTAGGCTTCCCTGAAGAAGTGAGTTTTCAAAGATTGCCAGACAAAGGCAGACAGGGTGGGGGGTTGACCTTGAGACATACTCTTGTAAACTGTAAAATATTTTTTGTGAATTATTTTCATACGTTGGGTTAGTGGAAGCCAGGGAAGGGATTGGCTGAGAGGGGCAGAAGTCGTTGATTGCCTTGTAAGGTTTATCAGTCTAGCAGCAGCATTTCATAATAGACTGAAGGGTGGATAGCCTGTGTAACGGTAGACCAGTGAGGGGGGAGTTGCAGTAATCAAGGCGGGATATAACCAAAGCGTGGATAAGTTGTTTTTGGTCAGGAAGGGGTGGATTTTGGAAATGTTCCGGAGGTTGAGGCAGCAGGATTTAGCCAGTGATTGGATGTGGGGCCCAAAGGAGAGGTCAGAGTCTAGGATTACGCCTAGCACCCTGGCATGAGGGGAAGGACCAATGGTTGTGCTGTTGATCTTAATGGTAAAGTCGTGAGTGGGGGATGGGGAAAAAGGAAATATTACAAGCTCGGTTTTGGAAAGATTGAGTTTAAGGTAGTGGTGTGACATCCATGCTGATA